TTTTCATGGTGAGAGCAGAAGCAGAGATGGTCTCTTCTCTTTTCAAGAAATAACAGCTCTGGGAGATGACTGGCCTCAGGTGTGCTCCAGGGACAGCGCTAGGAGAGAAGGACACTTTATCTCATTTCTCATCCCCCTTTGGAATCTCCAGTGTGGAATAACTTTTAAAATATTTCTTAAAACCCCGGTAAAATTCATCTCATAGTATCACGGGCTCTTCCTAGGAATTGGGCAGGCTTCCTAATTTGTCTAAATATCCATATTAACATCTCTTAGGAGGCCTGAGGAACAATTTTTCAAAACTTAGGTTCCAAAGCTTTTATCTCTTTCATTCAAGGTACATGATCACAGAGCAAATGGATAGCAATGTCTGAGTTGTAGGCCTACAAAGTGCTTATTAGCTCCCCTTCCCTGCATTCAAACAAGCTGCCTCCAAGCAAGGAAATCGACCCCTTCCTTAGGAAGGAACAGTGTGTGAATGTCTCCAAGGTAGTCCTTTCACTCTCAACTCTAGTTCCTACTGCTGTGGTTTCATTTTGTTCATTTGCTGTGCTCCCTGCTGGCAACAGAGAACAGCTACTTACCACCGTCCACAGGCGAGTCCTCCGGATGCCTGCAGATGTGGAGTTTTGCCATAATTCCATGAGGATAAAACACTTTTGTTAACACACTGAAGAATTTCTCACCAAAATTATTCACGGGTACTAGCTGTCATTTCCTTTGTCTTTCTTGGTAGAGGGAGAAGAAAGCTGCAAGGTAACTACATTCATGTTTACTTTTGTTTTTATTTTTAAAAAAGTTTTAGGGCTGGGGAGATAGCTCACTGGTCTAAGTGCCTGCCTGGCAAGCACAAGGACTCAAGTTTGATCCCTGGTACTGCATGCATGCTGGCTCCGAAACCGAGCATGAAGGTACATACCTGTAATCCCAGTGCTGGGGAGGCTGAGACAGGAGGATCACTACAAGTAAGACTCTGTACCAAAATAAATAAAAGATTTTTAAAAAATTTATATACCATTTCAATCCTCTCGCTTCCCCCTCCTCCTGAATTCACATTTATGCTGAATAAAACGATCCAAAATTCAGAAAGAAGGAAATATATAAACAGCCAACTCTCGTTCAGTATCTAGAAAACTAGAAGAGGGTTTGTTTGCTTATAATATTGTGTGCAACTGAGCAACAGAATATTTGCATAAATCTTGTTAAAAATAACTTTTGGAATCTGGCTAGCTATAGTTTTTGCCTGAATTACACGATTAAGGCTGTATTGAGATTTAAATCACTTCTCATTTATTTAAGGAGTTGCTTCAGCAGCACTTTGAGCAGATGGACTTGGGGTTTCTTAGGCCTTCAAGCTTGAGAAAGGCTGTGATGGGAGGCATAGCTGCGGGTCCTGGAACATTTCTGGCTACTGCTGTCTGCTGAGAAGGGAACTCTAAAAAAGTAGCTGATGCTCTGAATGATCTTCTGGCCAGAAGTTAGTAATGAAACACACTACGGACAAAAGTCTTTATAGCTTCTCAAAGAAAATTTCAGTGTCTTCTGGACTAGTTCAGTGACATTTGATCTAACTTTTCTCCTTTCATCAGTTCTTATAGCCCCCTGCTCTGGGGTACAGCCTTCCTTTCTAGAGCAGATTATTACCCTAGAAGCCTCATTTTACATTAGAAGTCTTTTGCCATATGCCTCTAATTACTTTCATTCCCCTGTGCTGGCCTTTTCTCATCTTTCTTTAGAGAAGGCATCACACACACACACACACACACACACACACACACACACACACACACACACACACACCCCAATTAGCTCACACCTATCCACGGGCCTGAAAATTTTATTTCCTCCAAGAAAAAAAAAAATCTAGAAATGTGCCCACAAATTCCTATGGTGCTGTGTAGTCTAGATATTGACCTATGGTGGGGAATTTTAGGCAGTACTTCTGTGTAGCGCTTTTATTTAACTGAGGAAAATGCCAGTAAAAGGTGACTTCTTCAGTCTTTCTGCTCCTCAAACAACTGTGCTAAGCCCTAGGCTAGTAGCGTGGACCTTGATCAGTGGACTTGGGCTCGTAGCAGACACTCGCTTTCCTCATAATGCTTCATTAAACAGGCTAAGTCCACTGAGCTTTCTCAAGATATGTAACTTTGAAGACATCATTGGCAAAGGAACAAACTATGATTTATAGTAGTAACTGTTATACTCTGGATCTTACTGGGCTTTGTTTTGAAAAATTATTTCCACAATGGTTCTGTCGAATTTAGGAGCCTAAGCAGCACAATCTGGCACATTTATGACAATAGGGTTCTGGTTTTCTTAACTCCACAGTTACATGTTGGCAGCGCTTCAAATTTTTGGCACAGATGTTTAAGTGAATTTAAAGAAGAAACACTAAAAACGAAGTATCAGGCAATTTTAAGTGTCCAAGTTTAAGAAGGAACGTTATTTTCTTAACATGCAGTTAGCGTGGAACCCTGGATTTGGTAATGGATGAAGTGGGAAGCGTGCAAACCACTCGCAAAGGGCTTTCAGACCGCCTCGCCGAGGGCACCGTCGCATTTCTGGATGCGCTTCCTGCTCACGGCCACCAAATGAGGTCCAATTCATTTTGCCTTTCCCCTAGAGATGGGTCAGCTTCTGGAACATCCACGGATGAACAAGCAGACTCATTCTCACCACGTGACTCTTGGGGTCCTCGGTTATGCCAGCACCACCCTGCATTTCACACTCACAGTGCCCAGGTTCTGCTAAGTTCGTTTTAAATGCTTGCGTAGCAAGCCTGCCTCCTGGGTTCTGATCTGGCAGGGGGCTGGGAGTGGGATGCGGGCATCCCTATGGCACGCTGTTAGCTAATGGAGTAAATCGGGTGCCATCAATGGACGGTATTCCTGGACACTACCTTCCAGGGTCTCACCCACCCCACCTGAAGGCTGAGTACACACACACACAGGCACACACACACCCCAGAGGCACAAACTAGGAAGGAATTTCTGCAACTGAGTCATCTCTACTACCTATTCATGTCCATCCACAAAATAAAACAATCACAAGTCTTCCCCTATTTGCTAGAGCCTGAAATGCTTTTCTTAAAAGACGTGACAGCTCTTAAAAGTATCTTCCACTACTGAGCTATGAGATCCCAATCTGTCATCAGATCACACTCTAGAACAGTCCCTGAGGCAAAGATGAGGGCATCCTGGTGGGGGCTCCTGCACACAGAATAGGGGTGGCTGCACAAAGCAGCAAATTCTGTTTGTTCTGCTCAAAATGTGGTCTGGGGCCATCCCCAGTACAGAGAAGATGACACCCACCTTCATGCAAGACACTAGACAAATATTGGTAAAGCATGACCATTTATATTTAATTTACATTTTGACAATGAGCACATAAATAACAATGTAAACCAGTACGTAAACATAAGATAGTTTGTTGGTCTAGCAAAGTAAAAAGCCAGTAACTTTGGTCAGTTTTAACTTTGAGTAGAGGAAAACAATAAAACCACTGTCGATTGTGGGCGCAACATTCACATGTAAGAGGCCTAGGAAAGACAGATGGTAAGAGAAATACAGTCTTTGGAAAAACTCTCAGGTGATTCAAGGAAGTACAAAAGGAAAACAAGGACACATGGGAGTAAAAAGAATTTGGTATCAGTGTGATGTTTGGGTTTACTTATAATTAAGAACTATGTCAAACACTGATACATGGAAACTCATCTCTCAGGCTGGGCTGCAGCTCAGTGGCAGAGTGCTGGCCTAGCAGGAGAGGCGCTGGGGCTGAGCCCCAGGAAGGGCTGGCGGAGACTGTCGGTCTTGCTAGTTACAGGAACAAAGAAGTAAGGCTCTTGTGTTTCCCTGCATGATTCAAATTTGTTGTTCTTGCTGTAAGTTGACATCAGATGTTGTGAACAAAACATTGAATATATAAAATAGACTGAATAGTGCTGTGCCAGTGCGTAGGAAGGCAAGAGAAAAAGGAAGTGGAATGGTAAAGAAATAGGGCTGTGTTTCTGTGGCTTGACTGTGGGCACGGAATCATAGTATGGCAGAACAAAGACACAGCCCTCTCAGACGACCCTCCAGAACGAACACGGATGCATCCCTTTCTCCTTGGCTGTGACGTGGCCCTTGCCCCTGCAGGGTCTCTGGCAAGAGACAAGGAGGTCCCCAAGCACTGATGTGATTATGAGGTCATCAAGAGTTCCTCAAGCAAAGTCCCAGAAAGAGAGTCATTTGTTTACTTTTTTTTTTCTTTTAGGAAAAGTAGGTTCTTTTACATGGCTTGGCTCACAATTTCAGTGGTTATAAATATATTATATATACACATGGTATAGTGGTATAAATACATTTATAAATATACATCATCCTTTGCTACACCTTGAATGCCAACAGGTAATCTTTGGGCTTAGCAGAGTAAAAGATGGAATAACAGTGTACCTTTCTGGGGCACACTGGTCTCCCCTCTAGAGTAGCAAATCACTAGGTAAGACATCACTCCTGGCACTAGTGGACATACTGAATGAGGTAAGTGTTGCTGAACAATTCTGCAATGCCCATTCATCTTCAATTAAATTAACCATAAAATGTAAAAACACAAAATACTGAGGAAAATCTGAGTTTTACAGAAAAAAATACGATTGATGTGTTTGGGATAGGAATGTTTATCACCCGCTTTCACCTTAACATGCCCAGAATACCCGTTTTTCTATTTACTTTTTTAAGTTGTGGCCCGAGCCTACTTCAAATCCTTCCTGGGAGAGCACCACATCCGTGCAATTTTGACATAAAAATACAAAAAAACTAACCCCCCAAAAAAACCCCATTCAGAACTCAAGCCCCCAAACTGCATACATACAAAACCACCTGTGCTTTGGGAAGATTTCGCAGTGGTTTTAAACATGGCATTTTGTCACATTCACATTTTCAGATAATACATCAGGATTCAAAAGTCATGTGGCCACTCAGAAGGTCCTACAACTTTGGGGGTGGTGTGAAGGACCCTACTTTTTTTTTTGAGAAACAAGTTGGCAAAGCCTTCCTGTCACCTGATAAAATTGTGGCTGGGGAAAAAAAAGCTATTAACATAAACACTTAAGATCCCTTTCCTTGTTCCTTCTACTCAAATTATTGGGTAATTCTGCACACAAACCCTCAAGTTATACAACACTGTTCAAATGATACAATCCTATAAATGAACACATCAACTGTTTAACTTTGGCAATACCAAAATCTTACTTTAAACCATTATTATAGAGTAGTGGAGTGAAATAATGTGTCTGTCTACTAAATCTTAGGTGCTTAAAAAAGATGTGCAGAAATTATCTACAAAGAATGGCCACAAGACAAAAATACACTTCTATTCAAATTACAAGGAATCTTTCCAGTCATTGTAAACTTTCTTAATTATTGCTTTTTGAATGATAAATTGTATAATAAATTATGAAGGATTATCATTGAAAAAATAATTATGGTTAGTCAATAGTCTTAGTAATGGGGAGGCTATGCAAACATATCCACACAAATATTCAAAATACACAGGTTCAAATATATAGACATGGGTGTAAATAAGTATATATAATATGTATATATGTATATATATATATGTATATCAAGAGAGTGAGTTTTTGTTTCATTTATACCCTGAGATTCTAGTAACTTTGGAGTCCTTCAATTCCAGAGAGGTGAGGGAAACCCCTGCCATTGGAAGCCCTTTGCAGAACTGGAATTATGTACAAGCAATTTGCTACAGGCACCCTGACTTGCCAAGTCATAACTTAAAAAACACTGTGTTTTGTGAAACTCTTAAGGATCCATGGGTTCGACTGTCTCTTGCTTGACCTTGACAGGTACCAGAGGTAGTGGGTTGCTATGAGGCAACTTCATGAGGGACAGGTCTGATGACTCATAAAGGCTGCAGCCTGAGGAGAGGAGTCCATTTCCCATGTTTCTTTGCAAAGATACTTTCAGGCCACTCTCTTCTTTCTCTTTTCTGACCATGGCCAGAATGTCTTTCTCCACCACTGAGGTCACATCCATGTTGTCCTCCATGTCCTCAAGCCGGTCGGCATTGTCACTAATGTCAAACTTCTCAATTTCTTCATTGATTCGGGTCAGGTCCTCCAAGGACAGCCCACTGGCGGGAGCCACTGGGCAGTTCCCCTTCAGGTGGACCTTGAGGCTACAGAGATGGATGTAGCTCTTGTGGCACTGGGCACACTTGTGGGGCCGCTCCCGGGTGTGGAGTCGCTTGTGCAGCTTCAGATGCACAAATTGGGTGAACTTGGCAGGGCACACCTTGCACTGGTAAGGTTTCTCTCCTGAGTGGAGTCGAAGGTGGGTCTTGAGATTGCTGGTGCTGCTAAATCGCTTGTGGCAGACCTGTGGTGTGGGGCCAAGAAGACAGACAGAAAAGACCAGAAGATTAAGAGTTGCCACATGGAGGGGGGCAAGCAACAGGTCAACTCCCAGCAACCCACATGGCCTTATTAAGCAAAGGGGATGTGGGCAGGTACGCTTTATTTCCCCCACCATTTTCCCGCCCACTGGAAGCTGGCCGTGTCAAACACTGAAGCCTGTCAGTGGTCACAAACTATGGGGCAGCCCCAAGGTGGCAGTGGCCCACAGCCAAGGAAGGTGGCTATGTTAGTTTAAACCAGGGCTCCCTGCCATGAGAAAGCAACTCCACATTTTCTACAAAGAGCACAAGTTCTACTCAGAAAGTACTGCCCACCTGGCACTCATGTGGCTTCTCTCCCGTGTGTACCAGGTAGTGTTTCTGCAGGTGGGCAAGCTGTGTAAAGCCCTTGTTGCAAGTCTGACATTTGAAAGGCCGCTCTCCACTGTGCACTCTGAGGTGGACCTGGGAAGAAGCCACGTGTGTTAGCTTTACTCGCAAGCTGCTCCGAGACCTTGTGCGTCTGCGCAAAGACTCAGATGTTTCTGACACAAATGTCTCAAGAAAAGCATCATGACAAAGTCTTAAAGAGAACAAAGCTCCAGGGTTTTCAAAATGCCATGTTTCGCTTGAACTAAGAGAGAAAAACTGCTGGCTAGTGGGGACTTTTGTTGACTGTCTAAACCCATACCCCACACTTTTTTTTTTTTTTTAAATTATGCAGAAGAAACTCTGGAGAGGCAGGCTACCTTGTCTAAAGCCACAGAGCTAGCAGTGGCAAAAGCAAGGCAGTACCCACATCAGCTGAGCCCAGCCAGTCCTCTTACTGCTGTAAATGCATTTGTACTCTGTGCGAAGGGAGCTGTACAAATACAATAGACACTCATGGGCACAGGCACTACCGGATGGCCCGGGGGCTCTCCTAGAGGCCTACCTTCAGATTCGAGAGCTGGCCGAAGGTCTTGGCACACACGTTGCACTCGTATTTAATCTTGCCATTCTGCTTCTTTAGCGGATAGGGAAGTGTCTTGTAGCCGGTCATGTTTCTTTTGTTTTTAATGAGATTCATGGCTTCATCGCCGCTGGGGGTGGCCATTGCTGCTGAGGTAGCATTGGGTTGTACCACATGATCTGCTGTGGCAGCTGTTCCCGCCGTTGGAGACCCACTCGTGGGGCTACACGCCTTGTCCTTCATGCTGGCCGCTGCCCCGGTGGGAGAAAAGGCACTGCGGAGGGCTGGCACAAATGCGTCTCTGGGATGCTCAGGAGGAAGCAACCTCCGGGCTCCATCTGAGGGCAGCGAGCTCGGGAATGCAGCTGGGCTGAGGACAGGGTGAGGCAGGCTGCCCCCACCTAGGAGGTTACTGTAGACCGGGTACAACCGAGGGAAGAGGCCAAAGTTGTTGATGCCATTGACGTTGCTCACAGCACCCAAGCCATTGCAATTCATGCCATAGGGGGGTAACAGGAGTTTGGGGTAGTGAGCATTGTAGGAGGGGATGAAAGCTGGTGGGAGGTGGGGCGGGGGTGGGTATGCAGAGTAAGAGCCCAGACCTTCAGTGCCATAGGGTGCATTCAAGTAAGTGTAGGAGTCCCGGTGTTCTTGACAGCCAGGAGCCAGTGGTGACACTGTGTCCCCTGGGCTGCGATGAGGGCTGCAGCTTTTCAGGCTTTGGTCTGGGCTGCTTCCTGCCGAGGGACTTGGAGTGGTGGAGGATGGAATGGGGGAGTGAGTGAGATAAGTCGGTCTCTCCATCCCATAGGCTTTCAGAAAGTCTTCTGGCAGAGGAGCCCGAATGGGGTACACAACCCGAGGATAAAAGGGCATATCAGGGCTCCCATTTTTCCTAAAGTCATCCGTGTCCTTCTCTGAACCCAGGGGTGAAATGTTAGAACAGTAGAAGTCCTTCCCTTTGGAGGGGTTGGAGTCCAATTTCAGGATTTCTTTCACACTGTACTCTCTCTTTGGAGCATTCTTTGGACAAAGTTCAGTTTTTTCAGCACTTGGCTGCTTTGGGTTGCTGTTCTGTGTTTGAGCTGAAATAAAGAAAAGGTGATCACTCAGAGGGTGACAGACAACGGAAGTGAAATCACCAAAGCGGCTCTAGAGAAAACCTGAGCCCCAGCTGGCCACACAAACTGCGGCCACCTGGCTCCTAACACCTCTCACTCCTGGAGGGCTGTGAGCCACCCACTCAGGACGTGCTGCTCCATTTCCTCCTCAGCAAAAGGGAGACAATGGCAGCATGGCCGGCTGGAGCGAACTGTGCCAGCGGGATGATCTTGTTTCCATTAGTACAATTTAGAGGACAGAAAAAGTGCTGTTCAAGGTAGAAAAGATGGCATTTATTAAAATAAGGTGGAAAAATACTGGGGTTGGGGGTTTGTCGCAGGTTAGTAAGTCATTCTGATGTTCACAACGTGCCTAAAGGAAATCAGCACACCCTGCAAACTAGATGTGAAAGATTAAGACTTTGAAAGATTAAGACTCATTTCAAGTAATAAACAGTCATCAATTTTCAACTTGATTCTCATTTAATATGAATTTGATAGAGCCCTGTTCAAACCACTTATGCCAAACAAATTATGGCTATGGATGCCACCCCTTCTGCCTGATTGGCCAGGCATCACAAACATTTCAGCAAGGTTCTCGTCTAACCAGGCTCCCAGCAATGCTGTCCCCTGAAATCATGAGGCATGACAGTCACTTCTGCCAAACCACAACAGGTACTTCCTGAGCCAGTTCAATTACTTACAGCACTAAAGAAAACACAGGCAGCTAAGAGGAAAGCATTTAGTCCTGAAGATGGCATGTCTTCCTTGGTAAACAGACTACTTAGGAACAGGAGCAGCAAGGATAGTTCCTGACTATCCATGTCACTGCCAGGCCCAGCAGAGCAAAGGAAGCCTATATGGAAACACCAGTCAGCGGAGAAAACCAGAACCTCCCCGCTCAGCCTTCCTAGCAACCAAAGTATAGCATCTGATGAGCTCTGGCCCCTGGAGGGTGGTCACTTGAGCTAATACACCTTCCTTTCTTAGGATGTGGGCAGCACTGGCTGCTCAGGGATGGAGGTGCTTTGTGTGGCCTGGGTTCCAAAGGATGTGGAAACCTCTGTACAAGTACCTTCCTCATTGTATAGGACGTCCCTGCTTGGCTTAACTGAGAAAGAACTCCAGGCTTCCTACCTGACAGGTCTAGAGATGAACTGTGTGGAACTCCAGAATAAGCCCTTCGAATTCATTATCCAGGCTGACAGGCTTGAGGGATTCAATTCCAGTTGGAGAGCCCCTCAGAGAATGTTATCTCCTGCTAGCTGTTATCAGTTACTCCTGGGCGAGCCAGGAGTTCCAGAATAAACACTGGAACAACACTCTCAGGGAAGATGCTGATGGAACAGTGATGGAAAGCTTGTTGAGAGAGAGAGATTTCTGAAGCCACTAAACCAAAATAAATATCCCCTTATCGGGCCAATATCAGTCTTTCAGTGAGACCCAGCAGGCAGGAAGTTCAAATTGTCACTTTTGTTTTTTAAAGCTGAAATGGTAAAGGAAAGACAACTAAGCTGAAGCCTGAAAGGCAAGGCATTTTAGGGCCAGAGGGAGGAATTCTGAGGCAGGTGGGGGAAGAGTGATTTAGAAGCATTCTCAGGTGGGAAGGAAACGGATACCACCTGGAAGCACAGGACCTTTACCTCAAAATTTTGTGTCATTTATATGGAAAATTACATCTAAATCTCATTTTTAAAAATTGGGCTCAATAGTCCTGCAGTCCTAAAACTCAACACATGAAACCATAAGCATACGCTTACGCCTATTCACATGACTGTTGCCATATTTGGCCTTGCCTTTTTAAGCACGTTATTAGTCAGTTATGGAACTGATATAAAGCTAATGATTGGGCCAATAAAATGTCAGAGTTAGGGCCAGGGAGATGGCTCAGTAGAATAAGTGCTTCCCTGGCAAGCGTATGGGTCTGAGTTCAATCCTCAGCTCCACAAAAAAGTCAGTTTAAGATTATTTACGTAGCAGCGCTTGGTCAAGAGTAAATCCACACACAATACATGTTTGCTATCTCTGATAGCTTCAGAAACAGTTCTGTATCTTATTCTAAAAGAACATCCAGTGCCAAACATTAGCCTCTCCAACATGTCCTACAGGTAAAAATCATGGAGTTTACATGAAGATAATTTTTAAAAAGTTATCCTTTAGCAGCTGAGTAATCAGGGAAGCTCGTGTCATTTCTGACTCTCCCACTCAGCAGCAGCTTGAGTTAACATGAAAAAGAAAATCAAGATCTGTTTTTGTTCTTAAATCTTCAGTGGCTGTAGGCGGATGGAGTCATTTCAAGAGTGAACTGCTTCTGAAGGCTCTGAATGGCTTAATTATGCCGACTCACATTTTCGATCTATAATAAGATCCCCAAGACTACAAGAAAGAACCTAGAAGTTCTGCAGTAGGCAAAACAAAGTCTGTTTTCAACTGAAACTGAGAAAGCAGATTAACATTGAGAAGTCTATAATTTGGTCAACTGTTTTCTAGATGGGTTAATTAGATAGCAAGGAAAAAAAAACCCACCAAATTTGGAGGGTAGGGGCTTAAATAGTTCTTTAACTCCTTTTATTTAAAAATTTGCCATCTGTGATTTCTAGTCACTTGCTTTTCTTTCTTCTTTCTTCTTTCTTTCTTTCTTTCTTTCTTTCTTTCTTTCTTTCTTTCTTTCTTTCTTTCTTTCTTTCTTTCTTTCGGTACTGGGTATAATTCAGGACCTTGGACTTGCCAGGCTAGCTCTTTTGCCACTGAGCTATCTCCCCAGCGCCACTTGCTTTTCTTGACTTCCGTTTGCTTCCCATCTCTGCCTTTCACTCTGTTTGCACCCATGGAGTCCACACTATGATGGAAGCCTTTGCAGAGAGCTTGGCCTAAGTCTCCACTGTACTGTAAACACAGGCGGCCAACAACACAACGTATTTATTTGAAGGCACAATCTGCCTATTAGGCCTGATGAAACAGTGGAAATTTTCCTGATCAGAGTCTCAATCATCAGTTGCCACACCTAAGATGACTGGTTTCACAATCAGCAGGAGTCCTGTTGTAATGTACTGGTTATTGTTAACTCCTTTTTTTTTTTCTCTAATCATGAATATTGGATAATGAAAGGATACCTGAAAAAGCTAAGCTACCTCCTAGAAAAATTCTGCATAAGTAAAAGGTACTATTTGAAGCAACAAGGGTGTCATTTCACACTATATGAAAGTTGCTTCTTATGACAAAGAATACTTGGATCATAAAATACAATGTAAAGCCTCTCACTGGGAATAAAAAAAGAGGCCTTTAAAACCTTCTTTGATTGGAACAAGGAACAGGAAGTGTGCAAAAGTTCCTTTGTGGCTGTTGGGAAGGCACTGGGGTTGGGAGGTTCACCCAGTGGACTTAACTGTTTTTACAAACAAAACAAAACACAAAAAAAACCCCAAGATGTTCTGAATGCCTAAATGATGAAATTCATTGAAATTCATGAAAGGAGACCTTCCTTAGGAAGTGGCTTGCTAAGCTGAAATGTTAGGGGGAAGCAGCACCTCTGTCCATGATGCCAGGATAGAACGTGAGCGCCACAGAAAAACTCGATGGGGCCTTCTACCAGCAGGCCCTTAGCAATGGGCTGGGCACACACAGATGCCAAAACAGCAGGACAGTTCCTGGGGTGCTCAGGCCTAGAGATGTCCCAGAGCCTCAGGAGTGCTGAAGACAGGCAGAGAAGAACTGATCCCTTGGGGGTCACAGCACACTCATAGCATGCTTGTGTAGAAAGCCGGTTTGGCTTGTTCCAATCTACCCCAAGATCGTTCCAGAAGTATAAGGGTGCACTGTAGGTGTGTTAAGGGCCATGGGCACAATCCTATGTGATTCTCCTGGGGCGGTCCTGACCTCTGTAGATTTTCAGAAAACTATAAATAGAGTCTTAAGCGCCTAAGTGAACACCCTATAGCCGGATGGCTGAATCACATATGACTGGATAAATAGTTGGTTTGTTAACTGGTTCTAAAGTTGAAATCAAAACTCCAACTCATGTTAAAATTAATTATCCCAAATGTCTCAAAGGTGAAAATGTGAACTAAAATAATTTAGCCTTCAGAAAAAGGAAGTGTGACAGCACAGGAAAAATTGGTGGGTCTGAGCAAAGGATAACTGGGAATCTTTTAAGTCTGAAAGACTGGCAAGATAAAGTTACAAATCTTTCAGCATTTAGTTAACTTTTGACCTGAAAGTAATTCACTTTAAAAACTTTCATAAAATGAAGCTGTCTAATCAAAAACACATAATCACATTTACAATGGAGGTAAGAATTTTACATTAATACTTAAATTATTCATAGAAGTCACTTGAGGATGATTAAAGTGAGGGAGTTCTTTACAGCGAGAGGTCATGACAGCAATTGTAACCAGATAAAAAAGTAAAAGCTTATAAACCTTAAGGAACTGAGAATTTGTCAAGATAAAGTGATAGGTGGTTACTGTAATACAGATGAGGAGATCAGATTAATTAGCTTTACCATAAGGAAGGAAGCAAAGATATGACATCTTTAGGGTTATTCATTTAGAATATTTGAAAAACCATGACAGAGTTTCTCTAGAGACAATCTTAGAATATTCCACGTCAGACCATGACTATGGTCAAATGTACATCACTGTAGTATTGAAATGTACATTTTAAACACCCACAAACTAGCACCAACAAGGGGAATATTCTACATTTGGGACATGTCTGGACCAATCTCTACTGTACTCCCAGTGACTTCCTTTTCTGGATAAATTAAATTGGACATGTTTTCTTCTGGTATTTTCTTCTGAATTCAACACTCAAAGCAGCTCTCCCCCTCTATTTTTGTTTTTTAATGGTCCAGTTTCATAATAGGGAAGAAGGACTAAAACTTTTTTCCTCTTCCTAGTCCCTCTTTAAGCCACCTACTTAGTGTAACAGATGATGAAGCCATATAATTAACCAACATGTTATTAGCTCATAGGGGCAGAACTGACATTCCTGGCATTTAAACATTTTTTGTTCTGTAATCCACTTACTGAGATTAAGCATCGTGAGCTCTCCAGGATAAGGGTAGTGAAGCCTTTCTGCAAAGTCCCGACAATACCACACAAGAAGCTCCTGGTTGGCGGGGATGGGCTTAATGGTGTAGAAGTAGATGTTCATCCCGTTCTGACACGCAGCCAGGTTTTGCTCCCGGGCAGAATGTGCTGGATGTGCTGGATTCACGTAGCGCATCCAGTTGCTTTTCTCCTCATTAAAACCATCAATGAAGTGATGAAGTTCCCCTCTGGAATAGATCTGTCCAAGAGAGAAGACAGGCGGGGTGTCAAAGAAAACCAGCCCAGAGCGACGGAAAGCTTTGCCAGTACCTCTCAGAGTAAACACAGCCGAGCAGAACGTGAGATTTCTGCTTCCCTATTACCTAGCTAGCAAAGAATCAAATCAATTAGGCCACAGTAGTCTTGAATCAGCAGAAATGAGGGCGGAAACAGCTCAGGCACATTCTTGTCGGTTACCTTTTCCATTTCAGTTTTGTCATCTTTTAATATTCGGGGAAAAAGAACAGAAGGCTGAAACAAAATTTCATTTAAGGAGTAGCCTCAAACTGATTAAGCTACCACAGAGTACTAACTTTTGCTTTGGCATTGACTGGCAAATGGGCGTCGCTACTAACTTCAGTTCCGATTGTGCTGACTTTTAGTGCTTTGAGTCACTGGGTAGAAGAGCAAGCCGGCAGACTACGTCAAACTGAGTCTCAGCTTTTTCTATGGCCTCTGTACTTGCTGTTTCCTACACCCCCGCCCAAGGCTTAGACTATGCAAACATCCTCCACCCCCAACCCTCGAGTCCTAAAGTAACACTTGTTCATATAAATACTTGGAACCCTGCCTTTTTGTGGAAACACTGGGTGGGGCAAAGGTGAGCTTCACCTGCCATAACAAAGTGAGCCCCGGGACAGAGGCCAGAGTTTGACAGTCTGGGTACTGAGAGGCCACTTTTCCTCTTGATGAACAAGTTCAGCCTTGCACTTTTCTTTTAGGCAAGAGGCAGAAAGCCAGATTCCCTTTATCTGGGAAGAGGCTGGCCAAGACACCAATGCCTGCCTTTTGGAAGTTTTGGAAAAGGAATAGGAAGAGAAGTGTTTGTTGTTAGCAGTGCAGAGCAGAAAGGAGAAGTGAGTTTGTCCTCGAGTAACACTACTTCTGATTAACAGACAAGCTCAGGGAACTTGATAAAAAGGCGGAGGTAAGAGGAGGAACAATGAAAACACACAACCAAACTACGGGTAAACACGGTCCTTTTTCCACAGAAAGCTTCTTTCTCTCCTTCCTAGGAAGAGCTGTACCACCTTTTCTTCAGACCAAAGCTCATCCCTTATGCATACATAATTAGTACCTGGCCAACGGCAGCTGTCCCCAAGTGAAGGTAAGGAATCTCTCATAGCAGAGATTTTGCTCACAGGACAGTGGGTTATTATTGCTTTACCCTTAGTCACACACTGACTGTCCCAGTCTACAAGTTGTTTCTGTGTTTCACTCCAATGTTATCAGAAATAAAAAGGAACTCTGCCCCTTTAACACGGGCAGTAAACACCAGAATCACTTTCTTTTAAGAGTAACTTCCTGTAAATTGTGAAGGGGGAAATACATGTGGCCTCATCAAAGCAGCTTGTGAGAGCTTTTGCGGTGTGTTTTGTTAAGAGAAAATGGAACAAGGCTGGGTGAATTCAGCTATCAAGAGGGGTTTTCAAGTTTGTTTACTCTGATGTGCAAACTTCCAGGAACATGGGGTTCCATCACTCTTGCACTCTTCGTAGGCACGGAAACTGCTTTCTAAAGCTATGGGTATGTCGATTCCAGTCAGCCTTCCATGGACTACAGTTTACTGTATCCTCACTTAAAAACAGAACTGTCCGATGCCATGAAGTCACACACGCACACGCAAGAAAATAAAACATCGCATGCGGAAAATGAATGCCGCTGCTGCCTTTCACTTCACTGCATTTCCATCTATTATCAAGAAGATTAAAACATGCTGACTCACAGTACAGTTACAAGAAATGTCACTCGTTTCTCAACTTGAACATTCTTTCTCTTGGACTGTGTCATTTTCATGAGACTTTTTCTTTCCCCACAACAGATGTTCACATCTCTGCCAGCAAAATTGGGATGTTTTTAATAACATGTGAGAAGTTATCTCCTACCATGTTCTTTGCCATAGGAAGGACAATGTATTCAAATAAATCCTCAAGGAAAGCCTTTCAGTCGCTTGTGGTGAATCATTAAAGGCAACAGAGACTGGGACAGTGATGAGAGATTCTTAGTTGCTCCTTATGTTTTTTCCTAAGGGACCCCATATTCATGACATTTATGCTGGATTGTCTTAATTCAGACCTGAGTCCTGGATTTCTACACCTCTGTGGCTCATATATGAGAAGCATTTATTGGCAATTAAGGTAAAAATACACTCCTACTTTTCCATTATAAGTCACTGAATGGATGTATTTTCAGCATGAGTAATTATTAATATTACTAAATAAATTAATAGCAAGTCTATAACTGTTCTTTTTAGCTTGGGAAATAATTCCAAAGGAGATTGTTTAGGTCAGATCTTCTGGCTGGACATTATAGAAAAGCTGCTCGGCCCAGGGATATAGCTCAGTGGCACATCATTTGCCTGGTAAGTGCAAAGTCTTACATTCAATTCCTAATACCAAAAAACAGTATCTCAATCTTGAATGATGGTAACCATTTTCTCATATATGGAAGTAACTTACATACTGTCAAATTCAATCATTTCATGCTACAGATAGATTTAAGTAAGGCCAGTGCTGTGGTATTTTTCAATTCCCCTAGCCCATCCATTAGCCATCCTTGCTTAATGACGTTTCTTTTGAAGACAGATTCATTTATGATAACTCTTCCATTCAACTGAAGTTAACTCAGCAAGAAATCAAGAAGGGGTGAAGTCTAAGGCTCAGTGACTCATTACTACTTCCTTGCAGAGATATGCAAATGAACCTACCAGCCTCGAAGCAAGTAACAAACTGTTTCCTTTCCTCACAAAGCTCTATAAAGGGCTGCAAAAAAAAAAAAAAAAAAAAGACTCACATATCATCCATCTCTCTCTTCCGCTAACCACCTACAGGCTGTATTTCCAGGGATGAACATCTAACCAGTTTTATCATCCTTGCTTGGCAGGCCCTGTTTCCATGGGGACCCCGAATACTTTCAGGTGAACCACACTGGTGAATCCCAGAGTTTGTCAGCACAGGTTGAAAAAGAATATCATCTTCTTCGTCTAGCTCCAGTTTTTCCTAATACTGAAAGTCTTGAAAAATTTTCCTGACTTACCCGCCAAAAATATTTCCTGTTGGCATTCTTGGGAACTGTATCGCTGGTGTAGATTTCACCTATTAGGGGCCCAAATCGTGTTCCCTTTGGTATGTATTCTTTACTCAGCACGCCGATAACCTAAAATGGGTAAAACATATAAAACAATTAATCTATTGTAAGGTGTGAGCCAATGTTGTTATTTCAATTGAATCCTCACGTGGTAATACAATCAACTGTGTATACCTGACAGAGAGATGCCCACATAATTAACAGTAAATTTCACCTTGGAGAAAGAATATCTGAAAGTCCAAGATCATGAGGAGCAAATACTCCACCAAGCATTCAAATAGCCTAGAGAATTATGACTGAAGGCTCTTCATCTTTATTATTTTTTAGGTTATACCAGAGAGGATAACTGTTCTGTTTCAGAAGAATAAGACGCTGTAGAACAGGAAGGTTAAACTCAAGGCCATTTCGGTGGTACTCCCATTTTCCTATTTCTCACTCTCCCTCAAACCATAATCACAGTGTCCTTTAGGGGAATAAAATAGTTTTAATCTTGGAAACCAAAATAATGCCTTTAGTTGTTCCACAAGGACAGAGGGAACCAAAAACCAAACACTTTTTTTCATTTCAGATGCGGTCCTACCCCAATCCCCAACTGCTTGTAAATTCTCTTTAATAGGAGAAAAACCTTTCAAGTCACTGGTCTTCTCTACCATCTTCTACTCACTGTGGTCACAAGTCGTCCTTTGAAACGGAATTTATACTGAGGTGAGTGGGGGTTCTAAGAGCTGTGGGTTCTAAGATCTGAGGAAATGACTTTCTCATCCTGCATCATGCATTTTGATTTTGTGGGGCTGAAGAAACATGTTAGCTATGTCAGTTCCTCCTTGATCGTAAATTTCTCTTGCCTGGCTTTAAAAAAAATCACCAATCATGAATCAGGAAGTAATGCATCACTATTCAAAAGAACTCTGTGAGCAGTCCTTTCTAACATTTGGCAATTACAGCTTTGTTTTTTATTTTCTCACTTGCCCATTTTTATTTTCTTTTGGCTCAAAATAGTCTACAAATTGGTTACTAAATACCTTACTGAATGGAACAAAGTGTGTATGGGGGGAGGGTGAGGTTAAAAAGGTAAGTGTTTATTTCCAGCTTTTACTATCCCTGGTGTCTCTTGTGTCAATGTATTCCTAAAATGGTAGGTGCAAATCTGTGAATCAACGAATGTTCTGCTGGCTCAGAGTAGAACCTAAGACACTGGTTATGATACACAGCACCCAGGTACCACTGTGCATCTCATCAGGAATTTAACCACTGTTTAAATAGATAAGGAAGGGGCCAGGGAGATGGCTCATTAGAATAATAGCTTCCCTGGCAAGTGCAAGGGCCTGAGTTCAATCCCCAGTTCTGCCAATAAATAAATAAATAAATAAATAAACAAATAAATAAGGAATAATATACACCTACATGGTTGTGAGAGACCAGTCTTTCTCAAGTATGTTTCTTATCAGCAAATGATTTTTTTCATAAATAATTTAGTATTCGATATACAAGTCAATGGCACAACTCAAGACTAGAAAGGACCAAAAATTTTCCTACCTCTACTAAAAGTTGAAACAAGGTTGGTGAGCTACAGTGTTATTTTTGGTCCTTTATGAATTTCTGGCAGAGAGCTGAAAAAAGCAGATGTTCATTTCATTCTCTTCCTATGCCTTCATTTACATCTAACCTTTCCAGAAGAGTTCAATTGGTACTTCTTAGCAGTACAACTATGGTGGACAGAGCAGCTCAAGAGAAATCTCGAGATAAAATATTTAAAGCTTAAACAGATTTAATTATTTTGTGGCTCATTGCTTTGGACATATTAATGGATCTAGTTAGGAAAAATCATGGAATTGACATCTATTATACAAAACCAGTAGACATTCACATTTGATATTCCATATTAGAATGACAAACAGGAAAAACAAATAATGCCATTTGTTGGCGAGCCAATAATTAGTAGTTGATATTTTCAACATATCCACCTTAAAGCAGTAATTTTAAGAAAGGCACTCGACTGGTCCATCAACTTTGCTTTAAATTATAGTCTCCTGCAGACAGTGTCATGGGAGTAAGAGCTTGATTATCAACAAAGAGCACTATATTGAGGCCATGGTCTTTCTTTCAATTGCCATTCTTCTGTAGAATGGTTCTTTTGGGTTTTGGTCACCAATGTGATACTAAGAAAACACACATTTTCTTGTGGCTAAAAAGTCAACTAGACTCTTGCTTCCACAACAAAGGAATCTGGAGAAGTCACGAGCCACTAACACCTACTAAGCACAATGGTGGATTAGTCACTAGGGAAGAGAGGCGCGAGCTTTACAATGGGACAGAACCCTAAATTCCTAGTACATACAAAGCTGTACAGTGTAAACTAACAACTAGAGATAAATAGAGCACTAAATCACAGAATTTTGAGGTTGAAAGCCCTCCTGTAGCTTATAACCCAACTATATGTATTCCAAGTTCAACACTCTAATAAGTACACAATAAACACCTTTTTAAATCCATGTCTAAGATATTATTCCAAGGCAATGTAAAAGCTGTAAATTTTATGGTGCTTGGCAAAATAAGTTTGGAGAGGGGATAGGAACCTGAATTAAAACAAGTCCTAGTTGTTCCTCTGGGAGACTTAAGTGTGTGTTTTAGTCAACCTCATCTCCTTGACCCATCACTTAACAGTCTACCCTGGAGCAAGCAAATATCATGAGGAAACCTGTCAGTGCCATGGATCGGAGTACTAAAGAAAGTTAATTAAGAATGTGTTCACCTAGCTCAGAAAAGAAACTTCAGTGGAACTGACCAGGGTCCTAAAGAATTACTGTTGGGGACAGACTGTTGTGTGGTTTCTAAAAACCCACCAAGAGAAGACATGGGGCTTCCTTACAGCCATGCTTCATTGGCCCCACACGAGCCTTCACGCATGCTTTCTGTGCTGAGCTGTCACCTGGGTACATTCTGTCCCTGTCAGAGGCCTGAGTATGGAACATATGCAGATGTAAGGAACCTCCAGACAAAAACCAAGGCTTCTTCTCAATATTTTGTAAGGCAAAGGAGACTCTGCCATTCAAGATTGGTTAACTAGTTCGTACTGGGAAAGTTTAATGGTAAGGACAATAGTTTTTTGTTTGTTTGAAAAGCAAATCACTCCTTCAGAGGGTATACAAACATACACAGAGCAGTGAATCTTAAGCAGAAACATTCAGGTCTAAATGTGATCTGAACACCCTCACCTCAAACTAAAATAAAGTCATTTTAATAACTAGCTATGTCTTCCTAGTCCCTGAATCCCAACCCACAAAAATGACTCTGATTAAAATTCTATTTTGAGGGGCTGGGGAGATGGCTCAGTGGAATAAGCGCTTCCCTGGCAAGCGCAAGGGTCTGAGTTCAATTCCCAGTTCTGCCAAAAAATAAAATAAAATTCTATTTTGATTATAAGGATATTGCCCTGACAGGACTAGAACTCTACAGTGGACCAAGACTTCAACATATAATTCACCCCACTTTTAAAAGAAACAGAGTAGGCTTGGGATAGCTCAGTGGAAAAATACTAATCTAACAGCACCACATGCATGCATGCAATGACTTTAAAAAGGAGTGAATGGAACAGATTTGGGGGAAAGGTTTCCTCTCTTATTATCTGCATATGGAAGGAAACATGGTAATGCCTCTGTGCATCACCTCCCAAACAGGAGTTGGAGGAGGGAATTGCAAGCTATGATGGGACACTTTTACAGGTGGCTTGAGTTAACCACGGGCTTCAGTTGCCATGGACACTGACGTGACTCCTGCAGATCAGCCTTCCTTCAGGTCAGCCTCTCAGAGGAGCCACAGCGCCTCAGGAAGGCAGCAACCTGGCTGAGGGGGAAGCTTGCGCAGACTGCTGCTTCTACTTATTAATGTTGAGATTGGTTTTTCTGTAGACAGGTATTCATAGATTAATATTTTAGGAGGATGGGGGAAAATCCCCATAAAAGAATAACCCATCAGTTTAAAAAGTTTTAGAAGTTTTGAATAAGATATCTATATTTAGTTCTACATTCTGGAAATAGGAAGTAAGAACAGCCTCATTAAAAGTGCAAAACGATTCTAAACCAAATCTAAAAATGAAGGTCAAGTTCAGAAATATGATTTGTATGTTTTGTTTTTAAACTAAGAAAAAAAAGGTGCTGACGCATAGCACAAATTCATAATGAAAAATGATCTTGTTAAAAAAAAAATCCCCGGCCTGTCAGCACAACAGTACATAACATCACATCTTCTGTTATTTAAATGAAAACAGTTTTAAAAGGGCATGATAAATCAGCCAGGTAAAACCTACATGTCAAAAGGCTTTCCCCCCATTTCCAAGGCTTGTGGGACTAAAAAGAACTAAATGAAGAATCCTAACGTAAACATGTCATCAATCCAGAATGTTTCTGCCCTGGAACTGTTTTGTAAGCTATCATACCATCAATGGCTCAATTCTACCATTCTCTTTCACCACCAAAAGGGAGCTGTCCTTTCCCAAAGTTCAAAAGGAAAAACAGGTACAAATTCCAGAGCAAGCTTGGACACTAGGTCATAGTTTTCCAGTTGCTTTTGTGATTAGCAACTAAAGATGCAGCAATTTCTATTCAAGAGTTTCAGTTAAGTAAAATATAGGGACTAGGACCTAAGAACTCTGCCTTTCATGTTAATTTTTAAGGATCTTGGTTGCTTAACATACTGAAATAGGAAGTTATACATTCAGAGGAAAAAAAAAAAAACAAGCAAGCTTAGTAAGGGATCAGTCTGAAATATGTTAAGACGATAAATAAAACCACAGTGACACCAAGAGGGGCAGTGTAACATAATCCAGAATCACTTGCTGGAGGAGTCAGGAGAACTTTGCTCCAAGTCCTGCATCTGGCTCCAGTTCTAGCCTCTGGGTAAGTGACTATCTCTCTGAACCTTGGACTGAATGATCTAAGAGCATAACAAATCATCCATAATTTTCCATGATTTTCAGTAGAATAACAAAAATTGAAAAAAAAAACCATCAGCTAAGAACTAAACCAAGGAAAAGAACATGATATATGATTAAAAAAGCAAAGATGACCCAGAATGGAGATCTTTATTTAAGTCTCAGTGGGCTGGAAAGGACAATCTAACACAAATGAACCTTGGGAATAGACAATATTTGGTCAAATCTGTTATGGGCAAAAAGGACACTACACCTTTTAAAGCCACAGCCAACTTTAAGTACCCAAACAAATGCTACATTGATGCTGAGAGCCACATATTAAAGAGACTTTCTATGAGAAGAGCATTACTTTCAGGAAGAGGTATAATTAAGGCTGACCTCTGGGGTTAAATTTTTGGTTAACATTCATGTACAAATACAATTTAAATTTTTCTTTTTATAAAACCTGCCACCACTCTCCCAGCAGAAAAAAAAAGTTTAATGAAGCTCAAAGCGGAATTGCTCTATTTAATTTTAGACAGCTGTGTCTACCCCCTCACTAAAAACATTGAACTCAGACACACAAACAGGAAAGCGACAAAGTGTTTCCCAAACAGGCTCCCGGATTCCTTCAAATGCTTTTCCTTAGGGAAAGGGGGAAAGTGACTGGGCAGGGCTGTAAAGAACAGTCCCAGTGGCAAATCCTGAACTTTAAACAAATGATCCCCTTTCTACTACTTTCTGAAAGCACAGAGCTGACAACGATGGTGGGAAGTTGCTGAGGGGTAGATTGCTTCAACGTAGGCCAGCAGTAACTAGAGAGAGCAACTGTAGTAGCCAAATTCTCAAAACAAGAGGTGGTTCTGCCAGTTATTTCACAGCTACACATCACGCCTAGCTATAATTGTTATATAAAAGGGTAAACACAAATCAGTTGCTCATTCCAAGTTGAGGATTTCAGCCCCTTTGAAACAACAAAGAGCGTACCCACTTCAGAGGCCAATAAGGAATTGGCTTGCCAACCCAGCCAGAGCAAAGGAGCTGCCACAGATAAACAGTGGTTGGTGAAGTCATCGGACAGAGGACACTTTTACGTGACCCTTTTCTCAATTTATGCCATCACTTCAGTTCATAAACACCTCAAGGTTTTGAGAATAATTTTAGAACCCAGCTAATAAAGCTGGCTCATTAAAAAGAATAAAGCCATCTAATGACCAAATGGAAGCAAAAGAAACATTAAATTTTTTTCTAAGAAAAGGTTTCCTCACTTGAAAGAACGGAGGGCAGGTCGTGCAGTTTTCCCCAAGCGCACTGACAGCACTGCCCACCTAACAAGAGTTTTTCCAAGACATGTCAGTTTGCCAAAAGATTTAACTGTTTACTAATTAGTATGGAACAGTTTGAAGGCTGGAGGAAATGAGAAGGAACTGACTCAAGGAAAGAGAAAGCCATAGAAGAAGTTAAGAGCGCGATCAATTATTTGATATTAACAGATTCTCCTAGTTCTTATAAGAAGTTGTATATGAAGTTATGAAAGCAAGCAGGGTACCAACTTTTTCTTCCATAATAAACCAGAAGCTTACCTCTTTGCTGTTGGTGGCACATTTGAAAAGCAGATTCCTTGGTAAGGATGCTTCTGCCTGAACTGAGGTCCCCCCATCGGCACCAGAATCCCAGGGGTGGTCGTGCACAATGTATGTACATTTCTCTTCAAACTCAGCCTCTGTCAACTGAGTCATATCTGCGTCCTCCATGTCCATTTTCATGGTCTCCTCAGTCGTCCCTGCCAACCCGTGAATCTTCACAGAGCCGGAGCTACACTTGGGGGCAGCCTGGAAGAGAAGGGAAAGGCCTTGATGCCCACTGTCCTGCCATTCCTGCGGCTTGCTCCAAGAGGCAATGACTAATACAGTAGTCTGAAGACTTGAAAAGCAGATGGGGAGTGCTTGGTACAATTGAGGAAGAGCCAAAAACACATATTAAAGGAGATTGCCTTTATTTACAGTTTTAAAATGCTGCTCGTAGTTTTTTAAAAAGTGGCAGTCACACTGGGAGAAAAATGAACACCTTTAAACTATCCCTGGCTTTACCACTCAGGGCAGAAAAATGTGGGCGACGTCCTGTGTCCCAGAACGCCTGGGGTCATGGCCGCCAGACCCTCAGCGCTGTGGAAAAGCTGCCTCAGAAAAGTGTCACAAACAAGGAGAGGAAGAGGAAGGAGCTCTGTCTGCTTCTGAATGAAGCTAAAAATGGAAAGCGCGTGTGGTGCAGGAGCGGAACCCAGCCTGCCTTTTCCAAATGGGGAAGGCTGAACTTTCCCACCAGCTCCCAACACAAAACAACTTTCAAAACAACCGGCTCCCCTATCCCGCTTGCTCGAGCTTTCCATGGAAGACCGAAAAAGGATGTATCCTGCTAGCATCACTGAACTGCACCCCTTCTGAGACCTTTCAGACCACGGGAAGAGAGGAAGAAAAATGGGTAATGGGGGGGGGGGGACTCGCCCTGCAGTTTGGATCTGGGGGCACTGCACGCCAAAACGAAAAAGCAAAAACAAAACATAAAACCAGTCAATAGCAATCCCTGAGGAGAATTCCTTTAGGAGCCCTCAGCTACAAATAGCACTTTCCATTTAAATCTGAAAGTGTATGGATTCCCAGAAGTCACTGATGTGCTGCAGTTTACTGTAACTAAAGTTATAACAAATATAGAAGGTTCAAGAGTACAGGCGCCGCTTCCTCTGAATTTAGGGTATTCCTGAAAAATCTACCCTCACACTCAGGAAAGGTGCTTACCCAAGAGAAAAGGATAAACAGTTCTGCAACGTATTCCCATATAGATGTGCAGGACTGAGTAGAAATAAGGGTACCATTTCCATGTAAGAATGTGTGCTTGTTCAAATATAAACAGACTGTGGGAGGTTTTTTATTTTCTTCCATTTCTTTTCAGATATGCTTTTTTCTTTTAAAGCTAGACTTGAAATTTTCTTTAACATAGTTACCACTTGAACCAGTTCATTATTACTTATTTCCAACATGCTGTCATGATGCCCCAAAAATGTTAAAATAAACTGAAATTGAAATTTTAAGTTAACCCGGAATAGTTACTTTCTTTGTCAGGGGGCTGGGCAGGAACCACTACTGAAATTTCAATGAACTGACAATTTCGTCTAGAATTTAAAGAGTTAATGATTCATAAGGAAAGTCTTATAAATGTTGGGCAGTAGTAAATGCAAGAAAGTAGAAGCATTTCTTGTTTCTACTGCCACTACATCAAAGGGAGGAAAAGGAAAGAAAATAAAAAGTTTTCAGATCAATTTTTGAAAAAATCAAAATCAAATAAAGCTCCTTACCGAGGTCGCACCCACACGTTTTTCCACGCAAAGATCCAACATCTGCGATGGGTCCCGCTCCCGGCGACCCCGTCCGCATCTCCGCGTCCCCGGCGGGGCTGAGCGGCGCAGACGCGCTCGGCGCTCCCTCCCGGCCGCCGCCCGGCGCGGCTCCCGGCTCCCGCCGCCCGCCGACAGGTGCTGCTGCTCTTGCCGCTCCGCGACACTGGAGGGCCGAGCGTCCCGGCAGCACTGCGGGTGTCAGCCCGAGCGGCAGCTCTTTCCCCTCCCCGCGGCCGCCAGCGCTAATGAGCCGCCCGTCTGATTCACTCCTACCAGGCCGGGGGCGTGGCCTTTACCTGCGAGCCGGCCGGCAGGGCTTTCCCCCAGCGCGCCGCCCGGCTTCCTCTCTTCGCAAATGAGTTTCAACACAGACTTGGAATCGTCTTACTTCCCTTTGAAGGCGCTCACGCTCGACGTTTGCCTGGGTTGCATTGTATTCTAAACACCCCAGTTCGCCCTGCTTCCTGTCGCGGCAGACTAAGGGGGTGCGCACTCCTTGAAGGAAACTTCAAAATGACTTCAGCGTTGTGCGGGTACCCCCTCAGCTTGAGCCCTCAGCCTGAACTCACGGTTACAGAACGCACGAAATTTAGGGGGAAAGAGCAAGTTGAATTGTTTTTGCATCTGATGTAATACACGGTAGCGATCTCGTGCTCCAATTATTGTCTGTGAGATACACAAACGCACTCGCTCAACTTGTAAAATTTCCTTTCTCCTGCTAACTAAAATACATTCAAATTTGGTAGCGCTCACTTCCTTCTTCAAGCTATTCCGTAAATAGGAAAAAGTCATAATCCTACAGATTTTGGGGGAGGGGGGGTGGTTGTTGTTGTTCCCGTGCTCTCCTCCCCAAAGCCACAAGCAGGCGTCTGAGGAGTGGAAGTAAAATGAAGAGCAGGAGTCCGTTTCTGGGGAAGGGGGGTACTGAGCCGACCTCGGCAAAGGGAAAGGGGTTGGAGGCTGTAATTAGTGGGGCTCGTGCTGAGCCTGGCGGGCTCTTCCTCCAGCCCCAGTCCTCCGCTGAAGGAAGGACATCCTGTGATGATGGCATACAATGTCCTGTTTGTTTATTATTAAGAGCATGGACCTTGCATTCCTGCTTCTCATTACAAAACAAACCAGATGCTTTACTTCCTTCAATGGTCTTGCGCCTTCAGCAAGGAATCCTCTAATTCAGAGAAACAATGATGCAAAGGGTCCATTTATAGCAGGCACCCCATTACAATTACTGTTTAGCTCGCTGAAATACAAGTCTTCCACTTCCCTGCTGGCCTCCCCATAGGTAGGGCTTTTTTTTTTTTTTTTTTGTATTCATCTCTCCGTGACCTTAGTCTGCTGTCTTTTCTAGTACGGTACTTTAAATACACGTGTGCATACACACCCACCCACATACACACACACCTCCACGCACACACACCCAGTCCCAACCTAATGATACCAACTTAGTCATACAATGAAGTGGACACTTAAGTTATTTGTTTACTGGAAGAAATGAAACAAAGCAAAGCAATAGCCAATTCAATCATAAAGATAGGTCTGTTTATCTTTCAATTTTCTTTCAGGAAACTTTTCTAGAATTCTTCTGGAGGGGGGAGGGTAGGATGTAATAGAAAGTGCCAGAAAGTCCTCCAGTCTAAAGTCCTTCTCCAGTCTCTGCAGTACAGAACTATTAAATTCCCACTAGGGGCCACGAGCAGCACACGCTCCCTGCTGGAGGCTGGACCACCTGTTATTGCACACTGTGCCAGAGGAGACGCTAGCACCAAGAGGAAACGAGGCTTTAGCTGGCTAATGTGCTGGGGGTATAAAACTGAATGAACAATCCCACAGAGGGCTCCAGGATGATAATTAAACAAGAGAAATCCAGCCTTCTCCAGAGGGTTTATTAGCTGATGCTGAGTCAGTGCCCCAATGGACAGAAAAACAATGTAGTCATGCGGGAGCCACACGCTGTTCACAGTCTCTCCTGTAGGTTGGCCGAGAGCTTCCCCTTCTCTTGCAGTTTACCTCAGTTCTCAGCCGCGTACACCACAAAAGTGCTCGTGACTCAACCGTGATGGAGTGAGGAGGCAGGCAGAAAGCTGAGATTTGAGGTAGGAAGAGGGTTATTTTGAGCCAGATCTTTGCTTTAATGACTGGAAGATGCCGGTGAATCAACTCACTGTTAATTAATATCAGCCTGCACTCACCTTCAGAGGTGGTGAAATGGGCTTGAGTCTAGGGAGGACGCAAACATCAAATACCAGTGTGGGGCTTAGCCAGGCAACCCTAAAATTAGATCCAGGTGTTCCAGCTGAGCTGGACAAGACCACAAGTGGAACTTTAAGGAAAGGAGATTTTGAGACAGCATGTTGGAATAGAACATCCTCCAGATCTTCAGTAATAGGCAAAAATAAAATCCAACTTTTGACTATGATTACAGCAATCAAAGTTGAGGATTAACATAATTAAAATAATGTAATTGAAAGTGCAGGACACAGAAAAGAAAGAAGAAATACAAGTAAGGAAGCAGACTCCACATAGGAAAAGCCAGGTTGAGATTACGATGCGTTGGTATTGTCCAGAACAGCACTGTTCAGGGTAGGTGGTGGACGGCCTACTGCCCTTAACCCAGCCCTTCTGGAAGACTGCCAGGAGCTGGGGGATGTCAGCGCTAGTACCATGTGGGGCGCTCTGACATGACCACTGTCTGGAACCTGCGGTCTCAAAATGTTGGCTTCGAAGTAGGAACTTGTACAATGTTAGCAGTCACTTTATTTCCTTCTCTGTTAGAATACTCACACATGCGCACATACCCTTCAGTTATCTTTATTAACAGCATTTCTTAAGCAGAGTGCTCCCAGCAAGAGTGTTCACAATGCAGCAAACCATGGTGAACCAAATAGCTCTGATCTCAGAAATCCTAATCAAGTCCCTTTGATGGCATCATCGTAACAGCTGAACAAGTCAGTGTTAGCTCAGTTTCAGCTACTGGGCCAGTTTTTTCTTTTTTCTTTTTGGTCATTGTTGTTTTCTGACCTTCTGTCCACGGGTTGGTCAGGAATTGCCGTACAAGTGATCAAAGAACTGAAGGGGGAAAAGAACTGTTGTAGAATGAAGGGAAATTGAGCCCCAAATCTGGAGACCTGACTCTACTTGGAGAAATTTTTTTTTTCTTAAGGAAAGTAAAAAATGGGATGAAATATGCTCAAGATGAAATGTGTTTTCATTTTCTAATTCAACTCCTGCTATACCCAAACAAGGTCAATGACAGGCTAACCACATCAAGAGAGCACCCCCACCCTCTGCTCCCCACTCCATACCCACCCACCCACCATCACCCCCCACACCCATTTCCCACTTCCTGTAAGTTAGGCATCTTCATGCTGGTAAACATTTGGGGACCAACTGTACGCCTGAGCCTAAAAGAGGGGCACTGTGGCTTTGAAGCCCTCCCACATGTCTCAAAGCCAGGCTGAGAATGAGAGGGACACTCTGCTTTTAAACTTTAACAGCCTTTTCAACTCAAATCACTGGGCTTGGCTTTTTGGCTGCCTTCTTTTTTAAAAGCCAGACAAGAAGAGCAAGTATGTGTGTATGAGTGAGAGAGAATGTATATATGACACATGCTATGTTACAATGCAGCCTGTGTGTCACTGGTATGATATGTGTATGATATGCTTCAGTGATGTATTAAATCAATTTAAAAATAGCACAAACTTCCTTCTTATGACACACAGATCACCTCCTCAAAACTTTTGACGAACATATTCAGGGACTCAACTTCGGGATGGTGAGCCTAGGACACTCCAGGATATTTTGAAATGAGGTCAGTGTTTTGACTTCCTAAATAAGGGAAACAAAAACTAAGTCAATTGAACAACCAAGAGAACTCTCTTCCCTCTAGGAATGGAGGCAGGATAAATGCTGCTCAGAGGCCTTTGTAAAACCCACAACAGCGAGTACGGGCTCAGTGTTCCGGAGCCACCCGTGTTCCCACCACACTTCAGGAGTTTTTTTACTTTTCTTGTATGCAATGGGGTAATGATCTGATTGTCTATGTATCTTGAAATTATTCATTTAGTTTGCTTTTCACCAACTTAGTAACATTAGCAATGATCATCATTATCACCACAGCATTTGTGAGGGAACCACAGCAAGTTTCCAATAGTTGTTTTTCTTCCTAAATATGTTGTAGTGATGGTGAGCATTCAGATATTTCATTCCTGAAAGGCTCTGAGAAGGAGATCATTTCTAAGCCAGAAGACATTTCTAAGCTGGCATTTGGTGGACAAAGGAATGAATCTAAACTAACTAAAAGGCAGCAAACACAAATCCATAAGGGAGAGAGGGCAACAGGGCAGGTGCACATTCTGACCCACCCTCTTATCTCCTCACCCTTGGGACCTCGATGGCAAGTTTCCACACCAGTGTGATAGGGGAGGAAAGGCTGCACTTGGAAGAGAGGGAGGGCCTACAGTGTTGGTGACAAGCAAGGTTGCAGGTAGGAGCATTTCGCTGGATTAGGAGGCTTAGCAACAGGTGCAGGGAGGATGGGAAGGATGAGCTGGAAGAACAGAGGGTGGGCATCTGTGGGGTGGCAGAGCCAGCAGGTGCAGGAGCCCCAGGAGCTCTACAGGGACCCTGGGGTTTGCCTATCATGGGTGCTCCCCTGAAAACACAGAACATCTACCAAAGAATAGAGGAAGAAACGTACCCCTCTTTACTGGGTGCTAAACTTAGGGCCTTTGCACTGAGCTGCATCCCCAGGCTTTTTTATTTTGAGATGGGGGCCTCCCAAAGTCACTAAGTTGCCCAGGCAGGGCCAGAACTTGTTGAATCTTCCAACCTCAGCCTCCCAGAGTGCTGGCATTACAGATGTGCAGCATTCATGTCCTATTAGAATTTTTAAAATTAAAAATGGGGCTGATTTCTTTTTGCCCTTTCTAAGAGGAGATTCAAAACTGTACAGTCTTGATTTTTTGCATGCCAAAGAGTTAGGGGGGATAAGAGGAGGTCTTCAAGGGGTTAGTAATGAAATCATCTGAACTGTTCTCTCTCGCTTACCCTAGCCCTGCATCCTGGTCCAAAGGAGATTTATTACTCTGCCTGAGTTGAGGACCATAGATCCCAAACACCACCGCATTCTCTTGCTAAGAAAATTAAGGACCAGAGGTCAGGAAGCAGGAAGTGCATCCCTCTGACCTGGCTTCTGGTACCCAGACCTTCACCTGTGT